GTAAAGAGCCACATAACATCAAAACCCCATCACATGAATACTAAGCCATTAAAAAATAGTGTTGGCTGGACACGGTGGCTCACTCCTGTAATCCCAGCACTTTGGGAGGTTGAGACAGGCGGATCACGAGGTCAGGAGTTCAAGACCAGCCTGATCAATATGGTGAAACCCCATCTCTATTAAAAATACAAAAACTAGCTGGGTATGTTGGTGTGCCCTTCTAGTCCCAGCTACTTGGGAGGCTGAGGCAGGAGAATCGCTTGAATCAGGGAGGCAGAGGTTGCAGTGAGCCAAGATCGCACCACTGTACTCTAGCCTGGGCAACAGAGTGAGACTCCATCTCAAAAAAGAAAAAAAAATGTGTTTCAGAAGAATTCATAGTAACATGATCATGCTTTTATTATAAAGTTTCATGACAAAAAACATTATGAAATTATCCAGATCATAACTATAAGAAAAAAGGAAGTAAAAACTATAAATGAATTGCATTGAAATGGTATACAGGACTATGGGTGGAGTTTTTGCTTGTTTTTTTATCAATAAACTTTATTTTTAGAGCAGTTTTAGATACACAGCAAAGTTGAGCAGAAGGTTCAGAGATGTCCCCATCTATACCCCTGCCCCACACACATAGCCTTCCCCATTAGCAACATCCCTGGGTGCAGATTTTTCCCCACTTTCCCGTTTTTTCCCCCAAAATTGCCTATCATGAGAAAAATACATTTTATCAGAAGGGAGAAAGGAAATGGAAGAAGAGGACTCCTTCAACTCAGAGAAAGACACAGACTTTTAACTTGCCAGTACACATTTTTATTTCACCAGCTGTTGGAATTCCTCACCATTTTAAGTGTGTGACCCAAGTATATTCCCCCAGTGAGGGCAGGTCATGACAATGCTTTCCCAACTCCCCAGACCTCCTGAACCCGCCAAATTCCAGCCCGCATCCTAGGGAAACCTCCTGGCTCCCTCTCCCGCTCCCTGAACCTTAGGCAATCTGTCCCTTGGATGCCGAACCCCTCCCACCTGCAGCCACAACCAGAGAAGACTGCCTGGCCCCAGTGCCCAGGTCTGCAGGGGACAACACAACCTGCAGGGTCGGCCAGCGGCCAGCAGGGGGCAGAGTGCTGAGCCTGGTTGGGGCCGCCTGTGCCTGTGCATCTCAGGGTCCCCGGTACCCAGAATCCGGGGGGTGCAGGAACACAGGCTGGATGAGTGGCTGGGTCCGCAGGCTATGTTCAGCACTCAGGAGCTTTAAACTGGGGAGTGCGTTTTTCTGGGCAGTGATGGTGGAGTTCACGTGCATTAGATCACCCCAGAGGAAGAGTGGCCGATATCCACCTGCTTTGGTCTCTTTGTAGGTCATTCTAAGGGCCAGTCCCACTCAATTGTGCTACAGAGAAAAGACGCCTGGCTTGCCCTCCACCTCCAGGTTACATTGGATGGGACTCCTTCGCCTCAGGGCCTCGGTCTCCCCGCGTATGGAGTGACCAGACGCGATGACCTCCTAGAGGCATCCATGAAGCTGCCTATGGCTCCATCTGAGACCCTTGTGTGTACGACGAACTCTCAGTGTTGAAGCATTTCCAAAATACGGGACATTTTAGAGGACACATTTATTTTTTATGGCATGCATAATGACATCCACAGAGAATTCAGGGTAAAGGCCTCAGAAAAGTACGCCCCAACAGTAGAAATCAGCTTCATATCTTTTTGGTAAGATGACAATGAAAAGTCTAACCCACAAAACTGCCCATGTCACACAAGTGCGCACACACACACACACACACACACTCTCAGACGCACATGCGCACTCACTCTCGCACACTCACACTTTCATACATGCACACACTCACACACACCTGTAAGCATTTCCCTTATCACCACTACTGCTTAAATGACTGAATTGTAAGGGCACATGGAAAACTTCTAGAATGGGATGACCCGACAGAATTTTAAAAGGAAAAGATGATGGTCGGGTCTGAATTAGGAGGAAACGACACTAGGAAAATGGAGACAACAAGCTTTGTATTGTGACTTAAACTAGATCAAAGATGGGGCCATCTTCACCTTTCTGTGGAGAGACGCATCAAGAGGCAGTAGTGATGACTTTGGGTCCAGTGGACTCACTGGAGGCAAAGAAGCCTCCTGGCACTGCTGTCTGTTGCTAAACCATCTGCCTGGACCCAGAGAGGCAGAGTCTGTGCAAAAAAGCCTCTTTCAAGGAGCACAAACAACAAATCACTCTCCTAACTGAGCTGTCAACCTCAGATCAAGTATGGAGCTAAAGGTTCCCTACACGTTGTCTATGCTTAATATAACACGAAAATGCCAGGGCCATATTATGCCTGCTTCCTAGACAAGACAACTGAGGTACAGGGTGGATAAATAACTTGCCCACACCCGCACAGCTAGTAAGAGGCCAAACTGGAATTTGAAGCCAGATGCCAGCTCTTCTCTGACTGCCTCTCCGTCCCGCCATCCGGGAGGGTGGGGAGGGAGTGCAGGGGTGGCCAGCATTCCTTAGAGGAGGTGGAAAACATTCCCTGAGGTCACAGCTCTGCTTTAAGTCTTGCTCTCTTTCAAACCCAGCCGCTGTGGAGGTTTCCTCTCCGCTCTGGGCAGGCCCGGCATTTCGACAGCAATGGCTATTAAAATAGTTCCCCAAGGGCGTGGCCTGGGTTTAGTGACTTTATCTTGCTCTAAATTAAAACAATGGTCAATGGCAGTCTCATTTTCTGGCAGATGTCATTCTCCCTGATGCCCTTGGTGGTGGTGACATCACATCCATGTCTGGCCTGCCTAGTGAGGCTATCCTTTAAGAGCTCTTCCTCTTTGGTGTAATCGAGACTCTTACACCCTAGTTAATGGAGGTTTTGTTTGAGGGAGAGGGGTGTCCTAGGTGGCAGGTTGTTTATATGTTTTTTGGACAAATCTAGTTTATGTGGAAGGCATACCTGTATGGTATATATGTCATTGCTTTCATTCTTGGCTCCTCATGTCCCTTGCAGTGAAGTCAGAACCAGAGATCAGACCATTCTGGATCCCATCGGCTCCAGGCCCTTGTCTTTATAGACCCCTGTGATCTCCATGGAAGGGGCTCACGGGACATCTGATCTGGAGTCTGGACTTGAGCCTGGGTTCCAGCTCTGTCTCCCATTGACTGTTTGACTCTGGACAAGCCATGTGGCCCCCCGACCCAGTCTCCCCACCTATGGAGTGTGAGGGTGGCAGGAGGCAATGTGTGAAAATGTTCTGTGAAGACCAAAGGTTGTAGAGAACCCTCTGACTGGTAAAAGCAGAGCTTTCTGGACCCACCCCTAGAATCTCTGATGCAGTGGAGCCTGAGAATCTGCATTTCTAACAAGATGCAAGGTGCTGATGCTGTCAGCCTGGGGCCCACACTGAGAGAACCTCTTGGAACGTCTTAGAATGTAGAACTTAGAGAACTTCTGGTGAAGAGTGAAGTACCATGTGGTGAGAGGCACTTGTTATGGGGTCGCAGGGCAGTGGGTCACCACCCAAGGGAAGCCGAGACCACATTGCCATTCTACACACTTCAGTGCAGTCTTTCCTGACTCCAGATAAGCCGGGTGCTTGCTTAAAAACAAAACAACAGACTGTTGGGCCCCAACACAGACTTACCAAATTCGACATTCCTGGGAGAGACCTGGTCATCTGTTTTGTACCAAGCCTCCAGGCGAGTCATTTCTTCAGAGGCATTTGGGAGATGCTGCAGCTTCATAACTAGCTCCAATCGAAAAAATAGTATAGGAAAGCAAATGTCCAGCCCCCCTCAAGTGGGGACATGGATAACGGTGATAGCTCAGTTTCCGTGAGGAAGAGGCACCCTGCAGCCTGGCAATAGAAACCTCATGAGGCCTGGAACTGGGGTCTCTGTGGAGGGCTTCGGATGGCATCAGGAAGCAGGATCCTAAGTGGACTGCCCAGAGTGGCCTCATTACCAGCACCAGGAGAAATCTGCCCACAGGCAGGGTATTCACCTGCCTTTCCACAGGAGAGCACTTTGGGAGGCCGAGGAGGGTGGATCACCTGAGGTCAGGAATTTGAGACCAGTCTGGCCAACATGGTGAAATCCCATCTCTGCTAAAAATACAAAAATTAGCTGGGCATGGTGGCAGATGCCTGTAATCCCAGCTACTCAGGAGGCTGAGGCAGGAGAATCACTTGAACCTGGGAGGCAGAGGTTTCAGTGAACCAAGATCATGCCACTGAGCGACATGCCTGAGCAACAGAGCAAGACTCCATCTCAACAAATAAAAATAAAATAAATAAAAATGGTTAAGATGGTAGATTTTATGTTACATGTATTTTACTACAATTAAAAAAGAAAATCATAACATTTTTACAAAACTGATATTTTGTAGAAATGACTAAGGCACCTTTCAGGATAAAGTAGACTTTTATCAGGCCTGGTGCGATGGCTCACGCCTGTAATTCCAACATTTAGGGAGGTCCAAGCGAGAGGATCGCTTGATGCCAGCAGTTTGAGCCCCTCCTGGGCAACAAAGTGAGACCCTCCCTCTACAAAAAATAAAAATAATAAAAATAAATGAGCCAGGCATTTAATGATACAGGTGCACCAATAAATGATGTGCACCTGGAATCCTAGCTATCCAGGAGGCTGACGTGGGAGGATCCCCTGAGTCCAGGCATTTGAGGCTGCAGTGAGCTATGATCATGCTAGTGCACTCTGGCCTGAGCAACAGAGTGAGATACTGTCTCTAAAAAAAAAATGTAGATTTTATCTGAACCAAATGCTTGAGTCAGGGCTGGTGCTAAGGGAAGCATGGCATGTCTGTGTCAGTTTTCAAAACATCTCCTTCCAAAGGCACCCAAGAACCTAGGGGACATTCCACTCTCTTCCCAAACACAGAAATAATCTAGGGAACAATTGTGAGCAAAGAACGTTGGTCACAGAAGTTCATGTATCAATGCTGGGTACACATTTATGATTGTGCCTATTCATTGACTCCTTCATGCTTCATTCATTTGTTTATTCTTCACTCTAGTGTAGAGTTAAAAAAAAAGTGTCGCCAGGTCAAGGAAAGACAGAGGGAGCAGGGTGCAGGTTGTAGCCGACAGGTCCCTTTTAGGAGAAGTGGCCCAGTGCAGAGGAAGAAGCAAGAAAATAGAGAGAAAGACCAGAAAGAGGAGAGGCCAAGGAAGCCGCCACAGGCTGTGGGGGCACCGGAGGCCTGCAGAGGGAGAAAGGAGGCTGCAGAGCGTCCTGTGGGGACCTGGTTTCAGGAGGCTCTGGGCTGTGCCTGGCTCTCCTCTGTAGCCCCAGCCCCTGGCACACAGTATGATCCCAGCAAGTGTTAGCTCGCAACATGTCAGAACATGGCTAAGTTTATAAGAAGTACAAAAGAGCAGCCCAATCTTAGCCTGAGGATAAATTTAAAGCTCAGACCTTCACCCAGTTGCCACCCACCTGTGTCTTGGAGGCCTCCATCTTTGGCTGGGGCACTTTGGGGACAGCCCCTCCGCACACCCAGTCCTCTCCTAAGCCAGCGATAGATCGTTTTCATTTCATTCAAATTGAACAGCGAGACTAAACTCAGACCAATTTCTGATCAGCTTCATTTCTCAGGCTTGCTCGGGGAAGACAAATCCATTAAATTTCCCCTCAGTCCTCTCCACGAGGCGCTGAGCTCCCCTTGGCAGCAAGATGAGAGCTCTTGAGGGTAAAGACTCATTTTATGTGAATCAGTGGCTGGCTTATTGTAGGTGCTTAATAAATATTCAATCATAACAATCTTAATTACTGGATTACATCATGTCTGTCTTAGTGTAGGATATAAATAAATAATGCCATAATAATAATGAGACCCTAACGGAGGGCTGCTCAGTTTGAGTTCCCACTACCTACTACACAGGCAGTCTTAATAAATTTGGGTGGATTTCATATTTCATGAAGACATATCTGCTCACAGCAGGTAAACGTTTCTGAAGATAAGCCTTATGTAGTATTAATGTGAGCAGAAGAGTTACTGGTTTCCTGTTCTATGTCCTCGTGGAACTTAATTAAAGTCGATGTGGCATCCAGTGCTCCCCGTGTTCGGGGACAGCCACAGGCAGCATCGAGAAGATGACAGGACTAAGTGTCAGGGCATCTGGCACTGCAGTTGGCTCGAGATGAGACCGGGAGACAGGTTAGCTTTGTTGTGATCCAGCGATTGTCTCCAACACAGCAGAAGCCCAAGAATAGAGCCGCAAATGCAGAAGTCTTCTGGCCTGGCAGGTTCTGTAAATGAGTGAAGGTAGCAGGTGGTTAGCAGGAAGGCACAGGCCCTGTCTGAAGGACAGCCCTGCTCAGCTCAGCCCCTGCCCCTATATGAGAATGCCACCCTGTGGTACCTGATCTCCCATTAAAATGAGCCAGAAATGAAGCAATCAACACAAAAATCTCTTGATTTTTAAATGCCGCTTATCAATCCAAATTATTTTAGGACAAAACACACCTGTGGCATTTTGGGCCTCCTCTGGCCCGGGGCTATACTAGGCATGTCTGGAGCTCAGAACCAGGGGTGTGCAAGAAAGGCACGTGCAGGGCCCTCCATGAAGGCCAGGAGTGGGAACCCGTGGGAAAAGCCCCTGGCCAAGGGGCTGGGTGCCCAGCTCTGGGCTCTGGCACCAGCTGCTATTCACTGGACTCACCATGTGACTCCCAATAAGTCTCCAAGCCTGTGCTCCCAAGGCTGGAAAGTGGAGGGTGATGAGGCTGCTGGGGCTGTGCCAAGAACCAGTGCAAGAGAGACAGTGACAGGAAGCCCTCTGCAAAACCGACAGCACCACACCGAGGAACAACGACCAGTGAATGTCCAGAAACTTACATGGAAGCCTCTCGAAGCTTCAAGAAACAGAGCAAGTCTGGAGGAGTTGAGACCTGAATGTCAGACAGCGACCCCAGGGAGGAGACTGTAGCATGCAAACCTGTTCATCAGAGGGGGCAGAGTCTGGCTCTGCCCTGACCTTGCACAGCATGCAAGGCCCATCCTTATGTGAATATCTGTTTCCTACTCTAAAAACTGGCCTGAAGAATGCAAAGGAACCTCCTCTAGTGTGTGAGGGCAGGGGTGTTGCCATATTCCTTTCCCCAGCAGGAAGCCCCTCAGCTCTGACAAAGTGGAAGGTGCAGGAGCTGGGCAGCCCATCTGTGGACACAAGCACCTCTGCCTCCCTGCTGGGGCCGAGGTGACCCTTTGAAGCAAAGACAGTGCCATAAAGGAAACTTGGGATCTGCAAGGTTCCAAGAAGCAGCTCCCTGCCCCAGACACAGGTCACCAGGCCACAGCACTGGCCCCTGGGGAAAGTCCAGTGACCAGCCCTTGGGAGAAAGTAGATAGCTCTGGGCTTTCTAGAGAAACTCCACCTGCACTGGGGTATTTTTATGCCCACCATCCCATACATCCATTCTAGGGGCATTAACATCACAGGTGAAATTAGCCATTCACCTTCACGTGGGTCCAGCAGGAAAAACCTAGGGACCCTTATGGGATGGGGAAATGGAAAGTGTCCTTCGTCCAAAGACCAGGTGTTCACTCTGCTGCAAGTCACCTCAATGAAAAATGCATTGTTTTTTTAAAGGAGAAATCAACACATACACATATTTTTCTTCACTATTTGTTGTTTTAGGCATTTTTTTCTCTAATGCCTGGTGATACAGTATTTGAGACTATCTTAATGCATAAATACATTTTTGCATGAATACCCATGTTTTTACATTAATATTTGACCTCCATTTTTTACTTGGTTACTTAACAATCTACCATAAATACTTGCTCCTCAAGTTTTTAATTTATAAGGTCAGCCCCAGGCAACCAATCTCTAAAGTTGAATGTTTAATTTTTTCTGATGTTTTGTGTACTTGCCAATGTTTGTAGGGCTGTTGGCCTCCCTGAAGCCACTTTATATCAAATAACCCTAAGTGAGGTGACCAGACAGACTGGAGTCTGCGGGACAGGCCACCTCCTCTGCCATGTGGCCTGAGGGACAGTCTCAGATCTCACCCTGGCTTCCGCAGGGCCCCACCCACATTCTCTGATTCCCTGGCTGCATCTCTCTCCTTCCCGGGAGCTCCCGCCTCCTTGTCAGCTCCTTCTGACCCTCTCTGTCCTCGCTGCCCCAGGGAATTTTCCATTTTTTAAATTATGGAGCATTTCAAATGTACACAAAAGTAAAGAGGATAGTACTACAAATGCCCAATTTCAAAAATATTGCTTCAACTATACTTCAAACCACTTCTCCGTACACTGCATTACTTTGAAGAGGTCCCAGGTGTTGACTTTCATTCATAAGTATTAGTGTAGGTCTCTCTGTACAGTAAAGCCTCTTTTATCAACATAATGCTACTATCACTTCTAAACAATTAGCAGCAATTCCTTAATATAATCAAATACCTAGGCAGCCTTCACATATCCCTGGTTGTCTTATAAATTTTTGCTGGAATCAGGACGCAGAGAGGGTCTATATATGGCATGGGGTCAATGTGTCTCTAGCGTCTTTTAATCAATAGATCTCACCTGCCTTATATTCAACGTGTTTGTTATGCAAATTGGCTCTTGTGCTGCAGAATTTTCCACAGATTTTTCCAATTTTCCTGGATCCTGCCAATTACTCCCTTATGGTGTCATTTATCTGTTTCCTCTGTTCCTGTTCTTCCTGTAATCTGGGAGTTAAATCAAGGTTTAGAGGCTTGTTCTGATTGAGACTTGGTGTTTTGGCAAGAACACTTCCTGTGTTTTTTCATAGGTAACCCAGTAGCAATTATTGTATTAAACTGTGATTTCATTAGAGACTTGAAAAATTATAATATTCTAGTTTGCCTTCCATCTTTATCTTTACTTATTAGAGAAACCCTCGTTCATCCATCACTTGGGGGGTTGGACTGTTTGATACAGTTAATACAGCAGTCAGGCTAAGTTCCCAACCCTGGCCCACTTCTCAGGAGAATGAAGCTGCTCCCTGAGTCTTGCTAAGGGACCATGGAATGCTGTCTGAGCTGTTATTTTTCTTAGTAGTGTTATAAACTCATGGGTTGAACACATTGAATGTGTTTTCTATTCATTCCGGTTTTCATCCCTAGTGCTGTACACAGTGTTCCATCGTCTTTCCTAGTGGGAGCCTCCCAAAGTCAGCTCTTTGGCTCTCATCACATGATCCCAGGAGATTTTCACAGCCTGCTTGCCTTTCTGGGGAGGCCAAAGTTCCAGACTCTTCTTACACATTTTCTGTTCTTTTTAATGAGAAATGGTATTTAGAGACAAAAATCTAGGTATAAACGATGTTCACTGCTGTTGTATTGGTTATGGCTTCCAGATCTTATCAGTTAAGAAATATTTTTTTAAGAGAAAGTAATCAAGACTTCATATTGATACTCAAATATATGCATAGAGTTTTACTTAATATTTTGGTTTTATATTTGCATCTTCTTTCTCTAACACTAAAAAATCTTGCTTTGAATGACATGAACATACTTACCAATTTAAGCTAATCCACCACAATGACTTCTGACAAACCCCTGTTACAGGAAGTTCTCTAAGATTTCCCATTTAACTGTTATTCCTTGAGTTGACTGTAAATCCTGCCCTTAGGTCAAATAACGTTGTTGTTATCACACTTCAATTGTCTTACACATCCCTCCTGAGTCAACCCTCCCCTGTGGTATATGAGCCCTGAGTCTGGGGGTAGTGGCACAGGAATCCATCATCTTGTCTTGTCACCACCCAAGACACAGACATGCCTTCTGTTTGTAAGTCCATATTAAATATTTCTAAGAAAAAAAAAAAAAAACCATACTTACCTATTTGCTCTATCTGTTATCTATCAATATTTCTAAGAACAGTTTAAGATTTTATTTAAAAGTTAATAATTTTATGTTCGGGTATATTCCCATTATGGGTTAAATCAAATTACTTATTTGAAAAGCATTTGATATAATTTCCTTTTGTGAAATCATGCCACCTATGTATTAAGTTCATTTGTTTCATTTTACTCTCAGTTTTTAGGTGCTTCTTTTCTAAAATTGTTTATTTAATTTAGTTTTAAAATTCTGGAAGGTATGTCATGGGTCCAAGTCAAATCTACCCAAAAAAATGGTAGATTCAGGGAGACCTAGCTCCTTTTCTACATCCCACCAGCCTGTTTTCTTTCTTCCCCATAATCATTTTTTAATTATTCTATGGTTTTCTTTTAATATCAGAAAATCCATATAAATAGGCATACATATATAATCTCTCCTTCAGTGAATGGTAAACACAATGTACCCATGTTTCTCCCCCTTGTCCTGGGAATTACTTCCTGCAAGGATGGAGAGATGGTCTTCATTCCTTTCTACAGCTGCGTAGTGCTGCATGACAGGGAGGTATCCAGCTTCTTGGTCCTCCACTCACCACCTCCTTAGTCCCAAGCTCCCAAGTTCTCAATCATTTCAGACCTGCTATTGCTCTCCAACCCAACCACGAGAGAGCCAAGGCAATCACAATTATGACAAAATGACTTCATTAGCTTATTGTACCTACCCATACTAAGCACTTGCATCATCCCATTTAATATTTGCAACAGTCATATGACGTAGGTACCAAATGCAGGTTTAGAGAAATCAAGTCATATGTCCAAGGTCACACAGCTGGTGGGAGGTAGATCTGAGAGTGCAATGCTTAAGACCCTGCCGCCAAAATTCACAAACTTAGCAGCCCAGCTACAGACTCTCCTGGCCGTACCACCTGGAGTTCTGTGTGGCTCTGCCCAGCAGCACACAGAGAAGTGAAAATAGATGGCTGGACATACCTGGCACCTGTGAGCCATACCCAAAGGCTCCTGGGAGGCCAGACCTCAGAGAGCAACAGGGCAGGATGGGAACCCACCTGAGCTGGGTGCCAGAACCCCCTGCACCCAGCCCAAACCCCATTTATGACTAGTTCTCTGACCTTGAACCATTTATTCAACCGCTTAAGCCTCAGCTCTCTTGCCTGTAAACCACTTCAGAGATGTAGTGAGGAGAAAAGGAGGTTACAAATGAGAAAGCAACCAGATGAGAAAGCAACTAGAAACGCCTGATCCACAGAAAGTGCTCAGTAAATATTTGTTGAGTCAAGTTAAGTAGAAAGCCACTCTTAAACAGCAGCTCCCAGGAAATCATCCACAGCAAGTGTGGAAGAGTCGGTGCAGCCTGTCCAGGAACAGATGCATTTTCTTCTCCAAGGGTGGCCCCTGGACCAGCAGCATCAGCATCACCTGAGGACT